TGTCGTCGGGATGTCAACTTGTTCAGCCAGCCTAGTGTGGGACCTTAATGATTGACCCCAAACAACACGTACTTGAATAAACTTTGCATACATCTCAATATCGTCGTCTAAATAATTACTTTGAGAATCAGCCATCATTTCAACATCATCATTGTTCGATAGTTCGAACGCTGTATAAGTTAATGGCTACAATGATGTTGGAAATCTGTACTGCAACAACAACATTCTTCTATTACTTCCAACATGAATCTTCCTCGAAATAATCGTTATCAGCTCCTCAAGAGTTATGTTTCTCTTGAATGATATTTTAACACATTCATTTGATACGAAAACAACGTCGGTTTCATCTTCTAGAATTTCACCATCATAATAAATAATAACTGAAAGTCGCGCCATTCTTTGAGTTTAAAAGTGCGGCAATATTATATCTGCAAAAGAAACAACTGAAACAAAGTTGATTAAATAAATAATATATGAACGAAAATACAACACAATAAATTTTTTACACATAAACGTAAATAATTTAAATAATATAATTTTATATTATTACATGTACCGCAAAACTATTTCGAAGTATGCTCCCGCTTTCTAATTTTACAAACACAAAAATTAATTGACAACAATTAGTATAATATTATTTCAAATAATCATAATAAACAATAAGTATAATAAAAAATTATCATAAATTACCTAATAACGAAAAATCGCACGAACTTCTGAATCAAATATGAAAAGATTGTCGGATTGTTGTATTAATTTTTTTATAATCGAGAGGAGATGTGAGGAGTTACCGGGGGAAAAGGGTATTTATAACCTGGAAAAGCTACAAGACGTGGTATCTGCACCGCGCCTTACATAATTATATTAAATAAAGTTAAAACGCGGTCACTAGTCCGCGCCTAATATAATTGTGTTAAAGGTAAGGCGCGGTCCTACCTGCGCTATACCCTACGTGGCCTAAGGCGCGCCCCAGGGGTCGTGCTATACACTCGTGTATCCCATGTCAGCATAAGGCGCGCCTCATGAGGCGCGCCTTACCCTACATGACACAAATCAGCGTTAAGCGCGTTGCAGGGTACGCCTTTTTACAAAAGATGTTAGATCAAAAAATATAGTTTGAACGGTGTCTGATCGAAAAAAAAAAACGATGGACGGTAATATATCGAAAAATCACCACGGATAGCCAAGAGTTAATATGTGTCCAGTCTGTGGATCGAGAGCGAACTAAAACCATTCCATGATAAAAATATATATATAAATATATATAAAATGTTTAACATTTTTAAGATTTACTTTTTATAATATAAATAAATATAATTTGAATTTAAATATTGTTTTTGATAAGAAAAAGATAAAATCAGAAATAGATTAAGATTAACAAGCGCAAAATCGAACGGCTAGAAAGGTGTATCGAGACCTATGGCATCAGCCTTAAGGGCCCAGCAAAACAACCCATCTCCATTTTGCGCTCATTATTTCCCATCACTTGTATTACGTCACGTCACCACCCACCGCCTCCATTTGCAAAAATGGCTTACTCTTGTTCGTTGTTCCAATCTTCTCTCGCCTCCAAATCCAGTTCCCGTCGTTGCATCATCGGAACCACCGCGGATTCAATCGCCCTCCCCTACTGTTATCTCATGTTCCTCCTCTTCCACATTCGATTCTTCTTCCGCCACCAGTTCCTCCAACAACAACTCCCCTTCACCCCAGAAGGACCGACGCCACGCCGATGAGAACATCTGCGACGAGGCTCGTCGCTACCGCTCCACCTCTAAGAACACCCTCTCCACCAAATATGTTCCGTTCAACGCTGGACCCGACTCCACTGAGTCCTACTCTCTCGACGAGATCGTTTACAGGAGCTGTTCCGGTGGACTGCTCGACGTTCAACACGATATGGAGTCTTTGAAGAAGTTCGACGGTGCGTATTGGAGGGATTTATTCGATTCGCGCGTAGGGAAACCCACATGGCCGTACGGGTCTGGAGTTTGGTCCAAAAAGGAGTGGGTTTTACCCGAGATTGACCCGGATGACATCGTTTCGGCTTTCGAAGGGAACTCCAATTTGTTTTGGGCGGAACGGTTCGGCAAACAGTTTTTGGGAATGAACGATTTGTGGGTTAAACACTGTGGAATCAGCCACACCGGCAGTTTCAAGGATCTGGGAATGACCGTTTTGGTTAGTCAAGTTAATCGACTGCGAAAACTGAAACGACCAGTCGTCGGAGTTGGCTGTGCTTCTACGGGTGACACATCAGCTGCCTTATCCGCTTATTGCGATGCTGCTGGGATTCCTTCCATTGTCTTTCTACCCGCGAATAAAATTTCCATTGCCTAACTAGTTCAACCCATTGCAAATGGCGCTTTCGTTTTGAGTATCGACACTGATTTTGATGGTTGCATGAAGTTAATACGGGAAGTTACCTCCGAGCTACCAATTTACCTTGCCAATTCACTCAACAGTTTAAGACTCGAAGGGCAGAAAACGGCTGCGATTGAGATTTTACAGCAGTTTAACTGGGAAGTTCCCGATTGGGTTATTGTTCCCGGTGGTAATTTGGGTAATATTTATGCTTTTTACAAAGGGTTCAATATGTGTCAAGAACTAGAGCTTGTTGATAGGATACCTAGATTGGTTTGGCCCAAGCAGCCATTGCCAATCCACTTTATTTGTATTTTAAATCAGGGTGGAGTGAGTTTAAGGCAGTCGAGGCAAATACTACTTTTGCCTCGGCTATTCAAATCGGTGATCCTGTTTCTATAGATAGAGCCGTGTATGCTCTGAAAAATTCAAATGGGATTGTTGAGGAAGCGACCGAGGAGGACTTAATGGATGCAATGGCACAGGCCGATTCTACAGGGATGTTTATTTTCCCTCATACTGGAGTTGCATTGACTGCTTTAATGAAGCTTAGGAATAGTGGGATTATTGGGGCCGGGTACAGGACTGTTGTGGTTAGTACAGCTCATGGATTGAAATTTACACAGTCTAAGGTCGATTATCACTCGAAGAATATTCCAGATATGGCTTGCAGGTTTGCTAATCCGCCCATGCAAGTGAAGGCAGATTTCGGTTCTGTTATGGATGTGCAGATGAAGTATTTGGGAGATAAAGCTCCAAAGCTCTAGGTGCTGCATTTTGAAGTTTAGGAGATTATACTCCGAGATTTATGCTTGGGTTTCTTCGTGTTTTAAGAAGTTTCGATCTAGATTGCCGTACCTAGTTTACAAATCATCTGTCAGCCACATTAGTAATCTAAACTTCTTTGAATCAGAAGCATAATGTTTTTTTCCCAATGTAGATCAGGATTATAATTGCTTTATTAAATTGTTCAATAAAAGGTTTCTATATGTGGCTTTGGGCAATCAGATCTGCGAGTTAGATAGATTGATTTTGCCTCCAGAATATGCCTATGAAGATAGCATCACTCTGCATTCATGCCATGAAGTATGTATGTAAGTGGAGTTAAGGATTTCAAGTATTTCAAGTATTTCTTCTAGTCTCAATAAATTTGTTTATCAAGTTTGGAACTAGTTGTGCTTGTGGTCTTGGTCATGCAGTTGTTTGTGCTTTTACTGTTCTTTTCTCAACACGTAGAAAGTTTTCATATTGCATCTTAAAGATTTCTATGTTCTCGAGGCATATCAATGGGAAGATACTTGGAGGTAAATATCCATGGAAGTTTTAGATCTCAGATGCTGACTCTTGAAGCAATGGTTGCATATTCGAGGTGCAATGAGCTTTTGTCAGTGATCTGTGACCCCTGCACCAGGTCGAAATGCCACTGCCATCTTAAAATCCCTTAATGACCTGAACTGGTGGTCCAAATTTCATGGATTGGTGTATCGATGTGATCAATTGATTCTTGGGTATTCATTGGATAGGAAGTCATGATTTATGGAAAAAGAAGCATAGAGATTAGAAAAATAAAAATACAGGAGAAAAGTGGTAGGTTGCGTGAGACCTTCCATCAATTTCAAAGTGTCAATCATGGTATGGCCCGTGACATGCCTTTTGCTGCTGAATTCAACAAATTTATCACTTTTCTATGTAATATCCAAATAGATCATGTCTCTTTTAAGTGAAGTAATTTTATTAAACTCGTGGGAGTAATGAAACCAAAATTAATAGATATTTGTATCAGAAACAATTTGTTAATTAATTAATTAACACCAAATGCATTATTATAAGAAACGGCAAGTTGAAAGCAATGTGCTAAAGTTTTCGTTTGATTTGAAGCAATGGCACCCAAAAAAGAAACCTTTGTTATATATGATCTTCTGTCTATCGTCACTTTAAATTCAAGTCCTCAATAAATATACCCAACATTTACAGCCATTTATGTGTAGCCTTAGCCCAGCTTCATCTTTAATTCCGATGACCAATAAAGTCTCTGAATTTAATTCAACAGTTTCTCCTTTGTCTTCAAACCTATAAATTCGGAGCACATAATTAAGATGTACTAATAAAAATGCTATAGTTTATTATACACACGGTACTAGAACTAGCTTTGGAGGAACTTATATTCACAACATCGAACAGTAGTCTCGCCCATTTTTAATATTACAAGGAAATAAAAACAAAAAACATACAATCAGCAACTCCGTTAATCTCAATACAGATCAATTAATTGATTCCTAAACATTCTAGCATGACACCAAAAGAAACTAAAACTCCTCCGCCTTGAGCTTCGACAGGCCAAAAAAAAAAAAACACAGTCAGAGTGGCATCCAGGATAATAATATTCAAATCATCAGAAACTGTAAAAACTCAAAACTTAAGGATAGGATCTTCATGACAGTGAACTAAAAATTAACTCCCATGAAGCTGTCTTTCCATTCCTAGTGACACTGGTAATTGAAATATATATATATATATATATATGCATCTGTTGTAATATGTTTTTTAATCTTGTTTAAAAGGAGAAACCAAATTCAACCAGTAAATTGTGAATTGTGATCAGAACTTGTTCAACTTTGTCTTTGTTGGATCTCCGCTTACATCCTTTGCTTCTCTTTAATGGAGTTTATCTTCTCCAATTTCCATCCGTCCCGGAGTCTGGCAATGAAGGTCTCAGCTTTAGCGTTAACATCGGGACTGGGACAACACACCGGGACGCCTGCAACTCCAACCCCATCGTCACCCTCAGTCATGCTGGCTGTTTCTGTTTCATCTTTGCTTATTTCTTCCAAGTCAGGAGAGCTACACCGCGAGCTAGGACTGCTTCGTATCTTAACAAAATCCCCACGAATCACCAACTTGAAATTTGGCATCTTAAATGGTGGTGGAGGTGGAGGCGTCGGAATTAACGGTGACTGTCCGCCGCTGTTCACGTTCTCATCATAATAACTAATATTATTTGCTTTTGTAGGCAACGGGGGTTTGCCGTTGTTAGCCGTAGTTCGTTTCCTCGAAGGTTCAGGTGGCGGGATCTGACTGTTTTGCTTGGATAATCTATTTGTATAGAAAGTAGGTGATGGTGGTGCGGGCGGTGGTGCTTGTGGGATCTGAATGTTTTGCTTAGATGATCGTTTTGAAAACGAAAATGCTGCTGTTGGCGGTGGAGGCGGGGGCGTAGGAATAGAATGGATTTTTTTGCTTTTGCTGGCCTTTCTGAAAAGATTGTATTTTTGAAGGAAAGTCGGTGGTGGTGGAGGCGGAGGCGGTGGAGGAGGTGCCAGCGATGTTGGTTGTATGCTGGTAGAATAATAAGGCTGTGGCTCAGTTGGAGAATGCAAAGGACAATCTTGCTGATGATCATGGTCTTGTGACTTGTGTTTCCTCTTTCTCTTCCGTAACGAAGCAAAAACCATCTTTATTTCTTTGGTTGCAGTACTTCTTCTACGTTCCAGTTTCCCATACTTCTGCTCTGATCTATTTCCCACTTGAACTAGCGGCGATGGTGGTCGTCGGGGAGGTGGCGGGGGAGGCGGTGGCGGTGTTACTGATGGAGATTTAATTTCACTGAAATCAACACGATCGTTCTGATTCATCACCTTATGATTGTTCTGCCCAACTGCCTGATAGCTTCGCTTCGGTTTATGATGGGAAGCTGGAGGTGGAGGCGGCGGTGGAGGTGGTGGAGACTTCGACGGAGGTGATGAAAGAGAAGAACGAAGCACAAAGGTATCAACAGGAATAACCTTGGCTTCTGATTCTTCAAATCCACTCCTCCAACTCCTACGAAGCTCGTGAACTTGATCATCAGAACTCGTTGAAGATCGATATTTTGTTTATTTCAAAATCATCAAAGAACCGAAACCGATCTTCATTATTCTCCCATAAAGAATCCTGTCGCAGATCTGGGTACGAGCTACTGCTTCTCTTTAACCTCCTAACATCGCTTGCCGGAGACGGTCTCATGTTAATCGGAGCACCACCATCGTATGTCTTCCTTTCTGAATGCTCAAACCATTGTTGAGAAACATAAACATGACGGCCGCTTTCCTTACTATTATCACTAATACTATAATTTCTAATGCCGTTGCCGTTGTTTGACTCCTCCTCGTCGTTTCTTCGCGCCAAAACGCCGCAAATAATAGCAAACAAGACCAGAAAAACGTTGAGCGAGTCCCAGCTTTTTCTGATGCCGAGGGGTCTAAGAATCTGAGCGGTGACGGAGAGGAAAGGAGGGACTACCATGAACAAGAGAAGCAATGCGAGAATGGGTAAGAGAATGATTAGGACCGGGAGGCTGAAAATAGGAGACGGTGGCCGTCGGCGAGAAGCGGAGGTAGGCAGCTGTGGCCACAACGGCGGAGGGTCACCGTTTACTTCCATGGAAAATGGACCGGCTTGCGAGATTTTCTTTGTATTTTCTGTTCTCTTGAGTTTCTGAGGTGAGAGGCTTTATAAACTGTGTTAGAAGACAGGAGAGAGATTTAGCTGATTAATTGCAATTATTTACGTATTTAATAATTTTAAAAATTGTCGGAAATAATTGTTAATACAAATTAATTTATTTCAGAGTATTTTTAATAATATGTCGGAAATGATTAAAATGTGTCATTTCTTTTCTTATTTTCTGGCTGAATAATAAGAAAGGCATATATCATCATTTATTAACGCTGTTCAACCCATATTATTAATAGATTTTTACATAATATATTTATATCTAAATAATTGTAGAGTTTTGAGTTTTATAATTTTAAAATATCAAAATATATTTTAATTTCTCAGCTAGTGATAATAAAAATAATAAAAAGAAATTATTTCATTTTACGTTGATATAAATATTTTTATATTATTTAAAATAACAATAACTTTTTTTTGTCGAAATTCAGATTTCTGGTTTTGAAAGAGGTCTTTCCAAAAGTTCCCGACTTGGGCAGTGAGAGAGCAAAAGCATAAAAGAATGAAAACCCAGATTCCATATATCCCGTTAACCCCACGTGTTGGCCCATCAATGTGGAATTAAAAGAAAATATTCAAGGAGGTTTGGTTCGTATAGAAATATTATTATTAAAGATAATGATTTTTTTATTAAGTTAAGTTGATTATAAAATAAAATTTGTTTTAAATATTTTTAATAATTTGATAATGAACGTTTAATCACTCTACTATAATCGTTAGTGTTCGAACCGTGACCTCTAATAACAATAACGATTCTTTTAGTTATAGAGGTAAGTTAGTTCGTGTTTAAAGATAATAATTTAAAAAAAAATTATTTCATGTTTGATTCATTCCCAATTTTACGCGTTGAAAAAATATTATTAACATTAGGAATTTTTTAGTAGGATTCTAAATAATTTTTCGTTATTTTTTAATTTTTGTTATTCTGAATAAAATTATTCTTAAAATAACGAGTTTTTTTATGTTAATAATTTAATTAAAATTTTCATTTAAATAATTAATTATTATACTATTATATTATTATATTATATTAATTAAATATTTAAACAATATTACACATAATTAAATAATATTTTAAGCAATTATTATCAGTTTCTCTTCCTAATTATTGGAGTGTGGTTGCGATGATTGAAATTATACCCTTTCACAGCAGCATAACTCGCACACAACGCCTTTGCCTTGCTTGCCACTTCAGCTAATGAGAAAAAGGAAAATTGATGTCTAGTTATTTAATGAATATAATTAAAACATTTAGGGTTGTTTGTTTACTTCAGAATGATTAAGCGTTGAATGATTCAAATACTGAATGATTCAAATGCTGTTTGATTCAGAGGCTCTGTATGAATTAGTTCTGAATGTAACATGTTATTTAATAATGACTCTGAATCATTCAGAATGTACTTCTGTGTTGAATCATTCAGCACTGTTTTGTTGAATCAATCAGCACTGAATTATTCAGAGGTGCGAAACAAACGAGCTGAATGATTCTATTAAGAGGAAAACAAATAGCCCCTTATTTAATATTGAATAAATTTAAAATTCAAATTATAGAACGTGTATAATTAGTAATTGTTATCTTTAAATTACAGCTTGCTTTATCAAAAGAAGAAGAAGAAGAAGATTAACTAGCAATTTATTTATTATTTTTCAACTTTCACTTTGCTGAGGCACTATGATCTTTTAGACCCAATTAAGTTTCCCAATGTGAGTCCTTATATAGCACCAAAGGCCATTCACGTTCACGTTAATTAACAAGACGCAAGTTCTTTTTAATTAACGTGTAAAGTTGCGTTAATTATTATTACAAGTTGTGGCCAATATTGTCTCGTAGAATCTTATATTAGGTTTAATGGATTCCACTGATGCTTTTTTGAACTCATTCGGTAAAGATTTTCAGAATGTTATAAAGCCGATGAAGAGACAAAATAACTTTTTATTATACAATTAGGAACGATTATCATGATTTTTTCTACACGCTTTAAGTTCAATAGCATTTGAAGTTAACGAGTGGCATGGATAATAAAAAATATATATTTAAAAAGTGAATTTAAATAATATTATTTATAAAATATGCATGAATTTATCGAGAATGAAACAAAACAAATATCATTATAAGACCATAGTAAAATATTACAAAATTTGATAGCGTTGGTCTTATTATTTGTTGTGTAAATACAAACCCTACCTTATTAAGATTGAACTTAGTGTCTATTAATAAAGTGGTCTGAAATTGGTAAATTAAGAAATTTTCTTCTCAATATATATTTTTGAAAACTGTGGGTTCACATGACGGCCAAATCAGAAACGTGACAATTACTGGGGCTGGAAAATCATTGTATTTTCGGAAAATGAATAAATACTTATAATCTGATGGAAGGGTATAGGTCTTATCATATTATATTATTACAACCCCACGACTTCCTTCAAGAAATAGATTATTGCCAAAAATCTCAGTAAAAAGAGAGGATGAAACGCACTCACGAAGGTGTATGTAGACATCCGTTTTTTTTAGATCTAAAAAATATTATAATTATAATAATAATATAATAATAATTATTATTATTATTACATTTACATTTTGTGTAGGCTCAAATGGAGCCCAACTACACTCAACAGACCCAAAAACACAAGCCCAACACCAGTTAACCTACCCAAGACCCAAACAACTGACCTAAAACCCAGCTATAGCCCGACCCGTTTACAAATAACAAACCCAGACCCGGCTCAGCAGCCCACCACAATCTAGATCCGACTTAGCCCCTAGGGTTTCTAAAACCCTAACCCTAGAGATATGATGATGATGTCGCCGCCGTCAGTTCTGATGCTACCGCCAACTGTTCCCACCTGCACCAACACAGTGACATCCATCAGCCCATCAGTCATATAAACAAATCAAAATAAATCAGACCAAAATCCCGAGGGATTTACCTAGTGATATCAATATGCAAAGGGAATGATAAAAAGAAAGAAAGGAGAAGAAAAAAGAGAGAGAAGGGAAAATGAAAAAAAAAAATATCAGAGGAGACAGAGAGAAAAGAAAAGATTCGAAAAAAAACAAATAGATTCAAAAAACGAAAAGAAAAGAAAACCAAAGAGAACGATTCTAGCCAAAGAAAGAAAAATACCAAAGAAAAAATTGAGATTCTTACCTTGGTACGAGGGGTTGGAGTCCAAAGGTCGCTGGTTTCTGGGTGTTTCAAAAGATAAATCTGTAGATTTAAGAGACTGGGGTAGTTTTTAGGTTGAACGGGGACGGGTTTCGAGTCGAGGGTGAGGAGAGGAAGCTTTTTGATTTGGTTGTCTCTCTTCGACCGCTGTAAACCAGCTTGAGCTCCGCCGACGGTGGCTATCCCTTTCTTCCCCGATGAGGGGAAGTTGAGAGAGTTTCTCTTCTGGTTTTCTGAAACGAGTGGCAAATGAGGGGAGTGGGAATTGGAAGCTTGATTTCATGCTTATATAGCCCCCACAAAACGACGTAGTTTCGAGGGGAACAGTTAGCATATTTGCGCGTGGGTAAATCCCACTTTAGGTCCTCCTGCATTTTTAATTTCATTTTCAGTCAATTAATAAAATTTTACCTTATTTTATTTTGAGCACTTATGTTTCAGTATTTATGATTTAGTCATGATATTGTATGTTATGTTGTTCCTGTTAATATTTGACTTTGGTCACAATATTTATTATTATTTCATTTTAGTCACTGATTTAGAGTGTTGTGTATTTTTGTTGATGTTCGAATTTGGCCATGACATTTGTAAATCTTTTATTTTAGTCACTGTTTGGCATTTGGTTTAATTATTGGTTGGTCCTTTATGTTTCTGTTAGAATTTTCGGAAGCTCGAATCGACAACCGGAACGATTTGAAAAGAGGGGTCGAAACGGTTTTGTGTTTAGGGAGTAAGGAGATTGAAAGATAGAGAATTGCACAGCGATTTATAGTGGTTCGACTTTCTCAACCAAAGTCTACGTCCACTACCTTAGCTCCTTATCAAGGATTTTCCAACAAATTCACTAATTTGTTCTTTCTTTTAAAGACAAAGAGTAACATTACAACTCCCTAGTTTTTCCGGGCTAAACTAGAACCTTTTCCCTAGCTTTTACATGGGATAAGCTAGAACCTTTCCCCTTTACAAAAGGATAAAAGATGTAAACAAGAAAACCTCTCTAAGGTGGGTGTTTACAAGATTGAGCTCACAAGAACAAAATATTTACAAGAGAAATATGAAATAAGAATGAAAAACTCTTCTCTTGTGTTTGATTGCTTGGATAGTTGTTCTCTTACTTCTTCAAGTGTCCTTAGCTTGTATTTATAGCTTGGAATGTGTTTGAAGTCATATCTAGCCGTTGGGGATGTTTTGGAGCCGTTTGAGAATGATTTTTCTGCAAAGATAGGCTGCCCAGAATGAGAGGAATTGATATCCCTTCATAGGGAATCGATACCCCTTCATAATATTCAAATATTATGACCGTTAGGCTGATGAACAGTGAGGGAATCGGTACCCTTAAGGGAGGAATCGGTTCCCTTCGAGTAATCTGTTATTTCTCGGAGTCAAACCATGTAGGGAGAATCTATACCCCTGGGGGGAATCTGTTCCCGGGGAATCGATACCCCCTGGGGGGAATCTGTACCCCCTGAACAATCTGATTTTTCTTGAAACCCTTTAAAAAGAGAATATTTTTGGCTTGATTAAGGCTCGAAATACTTTGTAAAATTGTTTTAAAATAGTTTAAGTATAAAACACAATTTTACACTTTAGTAAGGATTAAAATGAACTTTGAAAGACTTGGAGTAATATTTTGATATTCGAATAATTACATCGAATATACTTAGAAAATATTTTGTAAAATCTTAAAATTCATTTAACTTAATTTGTTATATCGAAACATCAAAATGTTTTCAACAATCTCCCCCTTTTTGATATAACAAA